ACCCCCAAGTCCCTCTCGGCAGGGCTGCTCTTGATCCTTTCTTCCCCCAGCCTGTATTGATACTGGGGGTTACCCCGACCCAGGTGCAGGACCTTGCACTTGGCCTTGTTGAACCTCATGAGGTTCACACAGGCCCACCTCTCCAGCCTGTCCAGGTCTCTTTAGATGACATCCCTTCCTTCTGGTGTGTCAACCGCACCACTCAGCTTGGTGTCATCCGCAAACTTGCTGAGGGTGCACTCGATCTCGCTGTCTAAGTCATTGATGAAGATGTTAAAGAGCACCGGTCCCAGTACGGCTGTGAGGCCTTGGCCGTGAGGGTAAGCCCAGGCCCTCGCCCGCCCCCAGGGGCTGGGGCAGCACCAAGTGTCCCGGGTCTTTCCCTGTGCCCCTCTGGCAGTGCACCTGCTGTACCTGAGGAGGCACAGAGGGGAGGGCAAGCAACCATGTTAAAGGGGGCTAGTCCCTCTAACGAGGGGGCTTGGGTTGGGGGGGAGGAGGGGAGGCAGTTGGGTTTTTTGTTTCTCTCTTCAATGGGGTTTGAAATAATAAAAAGTAAGTTTGTGTGTTTATGCCTGCCACCTGCCTCAGCACTTGACCCCTGAAAAGCGAGCAAAGGAGCTGGATGAGTAAGTTGGGCACCTCCATACAGTTTGGTTTTGGATATTTAAGGGGGAAGCTGCCTTCAAGGTCTTGATTGGGTCCATTAAGCTGGTGAGGTTTTATTAAGCCGGTGACGGAGAGGGGCCAAGACGAAGCATTTGTCTGAAAAATCCCTGCACGCTTCCCTGCAGGTTTGTTGTTGAGAACAGAGGCAGTAACGTACGTGCTTGCTGCCCCAGCCCTGCTCTTCTCACTTCAGCTGTTCTTGCTTGCAACGGAAGCAGGCAGCTGGGTCCTGTTCAGTGTATGCATAGGATTCCAGTAATAGGCCATGAACAATGAAGTTGCAAGAATTTTTGGAGTCTTTGTACACTCAGGGGTCTTGATGAGACTCTGCAAGTTGAAGCATAGAAAACTGGGCTTTGAAGGTGAATTGTCATGCAGTATAGGAGGTTAAGACCTCCATTTCATTGTGGAGAGCATCCTGTAAGTAAGACTGTCTTATTTCTCTCCTGGATTCCTCGGAAAGCAATGTGTGTATGTTCACGGAAATCCAGTAGTGCTAGGGAGTATTTTATCTGCTTTGCTGGAGCACAGCAACTGTGTCACATCCACATCGTAAGACTGTATTTGTGTGCTGAACATGCCAGAGATTACTGGCCATACATCTATGGGACCAGAGCTATTCTGCTATCTATTTAGAAATTCCAGCAATACTTTGAAAATCTGCCTGAGCAACATTTCTGTACCAAAAATGGGGATGTGTCTAGGAGAATCAGTGAATGAGTTGGGGAATGGCAGGTAGTAAAATTAAAGTGTGTGTACAACACTTGTACAGTATTTAAGAGAATAAAGTTATATCCCTGCATCTGCCACATGATAGTGTATGACAATGGGCAAATCACTTAAACCCAGTTTTTCATAGGTGGCAATAATAGTCTGTTCCTTTTCTGTGAGATGATTTGCATAAATGAAGAGGAGCTACTACTCCCACTGTTGTCAGGTGAAAACTATACTTTGAATATGAAAAGCATCCCAAATGCGTAGAATACTCTAAAATTCAGCAGTCAGGCAAGTTATGAGCACTTCAAATTAATACTCACTTATTCTTTACTCTGTATTGTGCATCACAAAAACAGCACCACATAACAGCTTTTGTAAAATAAATGCAAATAAATGTTTGTGAGATTACCTGCATACTGTAGCAAAGAGTATGATCAAATACTTATTTCCTTATAGGCTCTTCTGCCTTCAGAACAGGATTAGAAGAGCATACAGGAGACAAGGCCCAGATCACTGAACAACAAATATACTGAATGATTGCTTTTTCAATGAGACCGGCCTGTTTTATGCACTGAGCAAGGCAGGCTGATATTAGAAAAAATGCTATCTTGTAAACTGACAATGATATCGCAACGTGTATGCCCATGGGTTCTGCATTAAGGTTATGTGGGTTACCTTATTTTTGGCATTTACTGGCTCCTGGATGCTTTACTTTGCAAATGTAGTGTGCTCTTATTTACTGTGAATATTTTAGC